ATGAATGAGTTATGAATACCCGAAGTTGCGAGAAAAATATTTATGTCCATTTTCACTACCAATTCACTTCAATCACTTAGTTAACCATTTTAAGGTGCTAAACTAATTTTCCTAACACTTTTATAACATCAATTAGTAAACTAGTTTCGGTTGGAAGGAATCAAAAGGATGTTTCTCCCTTGATGATGCTCAAACTCAAGAATAAGCTTCAATATCACCAAATTGAGCAATTAATATTGTTTTCTTCGATCGAATGAACACAAGTTGTTAGAATCAAAGTCTAACACCTTACTAACATCAGTTTTACAATTGAAAATCCATCAGTAATATTTAGATGAAGCTTTCACTAACTTATAGCCCTAGAACTCAAGATAAGCATGAACAAGGGAATAAGTATACCTTAAGAGATTCCCTTAAGTGAAAGGATGAAGAACAACTCTAACTAGATCCATCCAACTTTCAATGATGAAAACCATATTTGTTCCTAAAACTAACAACTTATCTCCTACATCTTTCTAAAGTTGTTCAAATGAACACGAGAAGAAATCTTATAGGTTGAAGACTTTAGTACTTCCCATGACGTGGTGTTGTGATTACATCAAATAGTTGTAGCTTTCGTGTTCATTTCCCTCGCAATGCTCCTTTTACATTGTTTTAACCATTTGTATTGCTACAAATTCCATGATTTAAGGATAATATAATTGGTTTTGTAGAACTTTTGAGTTGATAGGTATATGTCAACATCTATACTTAAAATTGTTAATATAAATTGTAAGAACATATTGTTATTATGAATTATAAAAACAAATTATGTTACCAGCATGCTAACGGTATGGTGAGATATTGTTTTTTATAATTGTAAGGATTCAAGTCTTAAATGAAATACCTAAATGAAGATTAAAGTATTTATTGGTTTGTTCTAAGTTCTAAAGATAATAATAATGAACAATAGTTTTTATTTTATTTTATTTATTATTATAAAAATTTGTTAAATACTTTACAAGCTAATAATCTTATCTTATTAATATAATATATATAATATAGAGAAAGTAGAAGCATATGTAAATAGTACCATACGATATTTTGATTGTAAAAAGCTGAAAGTGTGTGGGGCTAATTGGCTAAACAATTATTAGGTCAATAAATAAATGATTCTTCTCCCCCTCCACGCCACGCACACAGGATTTGTGTATCGTCTCTCTCCTTGATCAAGGTTGAAGAAGCTGGCCTGAACTCCTCCTCAGCTTTGTTTGATTGGTAATGCGTTCAAAATAGTCGCCACTTTATAATTTATTTACTGTTAATTGATCTCGAATTAGATCTTGGATCGTCATTTTATCCATAAATTGTATCCCTGAATAATTTTCATGTCTGAATTTTTGACGATATGCCTCCAATAAACAACTAAACTCGGAGTATACGTAGCGATTTGTTTACATTTTTCATGTATATTTTGTGGCCAATCGAAGGATTGGTGAAAATTGATAGACCGTATAGATAATTGGCTTGATTACACAACGACAACGAAACATTTTATAATTTCTAAATTAGGTGGCTAAATATGGAATGTATAAGAAGTTTTATCAACGTAGCATTCTCTTAGAGCTTGAGAACATGAAGAACATTGTTCCTTGCTCAACTTGCCATGGACATCTCATTTGGTATATTCTGGTGTGGCTCAAACTCTTCAGTTGTTTTAAAAAACGGGATACATATTGCATTTCGTGTCAAATTCTTAATTTGGATAAAATATAGTATAGAATAACTAAGGCATTGTTTGGAAGCATGGAATTATTGGTTTGGATTTTGGAATTCAAAGTGATCTTCCTCCAATCCCAATCCCAAGCCCTGGAATCTGAGCTCTTAAACATACCATCATTTTGTTATCTTCTTGTAGGTTAGCAATTGGAAATACTGTATGTAGGTTTAGCAAGGCAATCTAATGAATTATAGGAATTCCCATGGTCATGTTCCTCAACTATTCAAAAGTTAAAACTACATAAAGCACTTAATGCCAATGGTTTTCTTTTGTGTGTGTGTGTGCTTTCATCTGTTTACTGCTACATAACACCATCTCCAGTGATTTAGGTATTTGTTGATGCATGAAATCTTGTGTCCAGAACTTTTTGCTATCTCGAGTACTCTTTTAGCTATAACATTTGGTTTTGTCTTTCTATAACCTAGGAAAGCTGCAAAGTGATTATTGTAGTTTGTGCATCTAGTAGTATTAACTATTAACTATAGATGTAAATTGATGGAAGAAAAACATGGTTTGTGAATTGTGATACTACAGCTGATGTGCTCTTGTTAGTTCAAGGACCTTATGGCAGATAAAGGGTCTGAGCAAATGGATGATACATCCATGCCTTCTGCAGGAAAGGAGGTAGCTTTCAAATCCTGTATCTTTGTCCATAACATAACTACTGCATGTTACTTATAATCATTGATTTCATGATACTTTGTCTTTTAGGAAGAAGTCATCAAAAAGAAGTATGGAGGTATTGTGCCAAAAAAGCCCCCACTCATTTCCAAGGTAAAAATAAAAATCAATTCTATTTCTATTTTTCTAGAAATATTGGGTCTTTCTTGGTTTCATATGACCTATGGTATGGTATTTTACTGCAGGATCATGAGCGCGCATATTTTGATTCAGCTGATTGGGCATTGGGAAAGGTGCAATTTGCAATTTCTTTTCTCTTCTTTCTTTCATGTTCGTCTTTACTCTTTACAATGAGCATTTGTAGCTAAGTTTTATTTAGAAGACTATGATAATTAGTAAATAATGAAGCCAAGTTTTGTATAATGTAGAGAGTTGTTTGTTTATTTAGCTAAACCTAAATGTTATTGGTGACAGCAAGGTGTAGCTAAGCCCAAAGGACCACTTGAGGCACTTCGGCCCAAATTAGAGGTACTTAAAGTCTCTGCCACTTTATTGTAATGTAATGTGCTTTCTTGAAATTGCTATGTTTTTAAGTAAAAGAATAAGATTCTTGAACTACAACACTTAATGAAAATTCATTTGTTGTTTTCGGTTTACTTTTTAGCCAACTCAGCAGCAAACACGATACCGGAAATCTCCTTATGCTCCAGCAGATGGAGAAGGTATGTCTTATATTATTTTTTATTTTCAGCATCTTAAACCCATATTTGAATAAAATGTGTCATAAATCATAATTAGTTTACTAATATAAAATTATGGCTACTTTTATGTTGAATCTATCACTTTGTTTGTATTTTCAAATAGATGCTAGCAACTCGCCTTCTAGTGATGCAAGTGGCAATGAATGAGGAACTGTTGTTGTTGGACAGATAATTGTCTCATTCAAATACTTCAATTCTGTCTTGTTTCATGAAACTATAGCTGTGATACCAGCAAGAACCCTAATTTCTGCATTTGAAAAACAAGTTCTATTAACATTTTTGTCATACATATATGATGTATGATATATCCTATGATCTTTTATGTTTCAAGATGAAATTTAAACAAAGTGTTTCCTAATTCTGTTTTCTTGGTGCATAATATGAATTGGTTAAAACTAACATCAAGAATCTGTTTGATTAGATGAAATGTACGAAGGAATGAAATTGATATGAAACAAGTAAGGTAATAAAATAGGTTCTTATTTTTCATGGTTTGTTGGTTGGTAATAAAATAGGTTCTTATATTATTTCTTTCTTATTTTCATTCCGGTTAGCTTAAAGTTCTAATGCACTTTGCAAACTCACAAGGTGTTATTGGTGTTGGTGAGATCACTTTATTGGGAACTGTTGCTTCATGGATTTGCATAATTGGTTGATGTGAAATTGGTTGTCTTGATGAAATTTGAAAAAGATGTTTCCATCTCACTTGAGGCTACTTTTATTGCCAAGGACATCACTATTCACTATATTGTACATAACTACACATGTTTTTTTATGGCTATTTTCAATGCAAGGACAACAAATATTGCAATTCTTGTCTAATTGACATTAGCTTGGTTTCAAATAACTTAACCCAATCGATACACAAGAACCAACACTCATTTCAAGAAGCACCATCTGCATTGTAGAAAACATTATCAAAAATAAGAACAAGTAGATTGAAAAAGTAATACAACAACAAACCCCAGAAATCCCATTAGACTGGGGGTAGATGATGGACAATCATGCTTCTATTGAGAATGTGTGTCACAAAGATGACCTCCGGCATGTGCAAAAAAAGAAAATCTGTACATGAGGCAAAAAGGTGGTGAGAGTAAGTCAAAGCGATCAATACGACATAAACATGGGTAATCTAAAGAACATGCATATTCACAAGCTAAGACAGTCGCCTAATAATTTAATAATAAAAGAAAACCAAGGACTACACTACACATACTCTCAATTCCACCTACAAACTACAACTTCTTCTGCTTTAATCTGCAAATAAATAAATAACAGACCATCGTTAGGGCTAAATGCAAGAAATAGCAATGTACTTTTATTTATTTTTTTATTATATATAGCTTCTTACTTTCATTTCTTTCTATTCCTGCATTGTATTTTTCAGTGTTTTACTGGCACTTTAAAAACATCTACCCAATTATAGCAGTGAAAATTTCTGTTTGATTACATGACATTGCTATAACTGCGTAGATTTTTCATCGCAGTAAAGAGGATAAATTCTTTTTTTTTGAATAAGATGCTATAACCCCCAAAAAACAAAAAAAAAAAAAAATTATGTTGCTAAATGTTGCATTTAACCAATTGACCCTAGATATTTATGCCCAACTTGAAGAGTGTTAGTATCCCCATTAACTTTTATTTTTATGTTTTTGATTGTATTACTGAAGCATTCAGCTACATATCACTTTCCACCACAAGATATAGCAATTAACCTTCTTTCAAGCATCTCAGTGTCTCAACTTTCAAGTTCATGGAATATTGTGCAAATAGAAGAGCAAAAGCATAAAAAGGGACAAAGAAAGATAGTTTACCTTTAACAGAAGCGCACTATTTGACATGCATAATCCATGCAAACTTTAGTAAAAAGACCCTTTGCACCTTGGTGACCCACACAAACACTTTTTCCTACGGGGCCCACCTTTATCCACACGTCCCTTTCCATAACTATAAGTCAACTCTTGCATAGGAGGAATATGTTTAATTGCATAAAACCCAACATGAAAATAAGCATCATGTTGATATTCACAAACAACCGGTTGCCAATACACATTAGGTGAGCAGCTATGGTTCATAAACCTTCCCACATTCCCCTCTTTTTTAGCACTAATCACTAAAGGAAATGGAAACTTTGCATGCTCATCACTTGTTACACTTTCCACAGGCTCAAACACACGAGTTGCATCAAAAACATAGTCATCATCAGGATCAATTCCTTTTCTACCCTCAATCACTACACCTGCATATTCACATATAAACCCCCCTGAACGAATCGGGTCCCACGACCTCAGTCCCCAACCTCTATCCTTTGTTTTGAACACCTCCAACCGGATCTTCAAACCCATTTGTGAAATCCGATTCCTACAGGTATTAGGGCATCTACAAGAATTCCCACATTCATGAATCACTGTGTTGTGAGTCAGAAGAACACCAAGAGGTGTATATGGCATATACCCTCCATTTTTTTGGAGACAAGGGCAGTTACTGCCAGGCTGGCATCCATCTGTGCAAGTGCAAGTTGAGGAAGATTTAGTCAAAGGAAATGGATTTTTATTCTTGAGAGTTCGTGTATATGTAAAAGAAGCGGGCCCCTTTTCGTCATCAACATCGTTTACAAGAGACACGGGTAATGTTTCAGCACGTGAAGAAAGGTCAGGGAGAATAACATTAACACCAACTCTTGTAATAGGACCACGACTCTTTTTCCATTGTTGAATTGATTTCCATAATGTAAATGCTTCTGGTTGTCCTGGAATTCTAAACAATTTGTACTTAAAAACATCACAATCAGATTTCCCTTTTTCAATCCAAGATTCCTGTATTGTGTATAACCCATCATAGAGATAAACCTTCCCAGTTGTATATTGACAATCTTTAATACCACGAATGACACGTACCTTATCACCCCTGTGTAAGCTTTTTTCAAGAGCAAGGTTACCTCTTGTTAGTTGTTGATCAGTTTGCGGTTTATCTTTCCTTTGGGCCCCACCTGCCCCACTGTATATCAACACCTCACCATCATCCCCTTCATCTTCATATCCTCCTGCAGAGACTATACTCACAGCTACAGGCTCTTCATATTCAGAGGATGGAACACCCATGAAATCTATTCCAGCAATACTTGGAAAATGTAATCCTACCAAGCACAATTCAAATCGAAAAAAGAAAATGTCACCAATATCAACACCTGGAACAGATTCAACCCTTTTCTTGGTATTAGCACGAACCCCTTTATTCATACAGATAGCACCTGCCCCTAAGTCTGGACGTTTTTTTGTCCCTGGAAGAGCTAATTTTGTCTCATCAATTTGTGTGAGTTTTCTCCAGAGAAGATTGTATACCATGATCACGCGGTCAACCAACTCCTTGTCACTGTCGGATTGACGGAAAGGGTCAACTTCCAGGAGATTGAAGGAATTCAAGAGATTAGTAACAAAGGAGTTTATGTTAGAGTCGGAATGGGAAACAGCTATTCCAGTTGTACCCTTCGCCTTTTTACGGGTTACACTCCTGTCATCATCACCGGCGGTTTCCATGTGCGTACCGAACCTAAAAAATTGGTTGGCCGAGCTTTTACCGAAACTAAACGCCTATGGTCAGAGGTCGTTTCGTGATCCAAATTGTGACCAGATCCGTTTTTCTCAACAAAAGGTTTCTTCTGTTCTCGTAATGACTTTGGAAAACCAAAGCCAAAGACGCAGGAATTGAAACCAGGCTATCAAACAATCATCATAAACCTCTTAAGCCCTAATCAACAAATTAATCTAAGAGAAAAACTTACCGTAATTGGATGAGTATACTAAGATCTCTAAACTACAAATATGAGAAAACCGTGATCTTCTTTCTTCTTCTCATTAAAATCACGTCCTCCAGTTCTCTCGTTCAAATAAAACCCTAAGGGTGTTTTTTAATAATTTAGTAAGTAAAAAATGTGAAAACTAAAACGTAAAAAAATATGTATTCAGTAAATGTCTCACTGATCACCAAAAATATCGTTTTCAAAAAAGAAAATAAATCTTCAAAGATTATTTCTATAACAAAAAAGAATTTATATTGTAGCATTAACTTTCAAAAATACAACCAAAATAGAACTTCGCCGATCTTGTTTTTTTTTTTTTTTATATAATTTTTTTAATTGTTAGATCTGGTTTGCGAAATTAAAAAAAAAAAAAAAAAAAAAAAAAAAAACATTTTGATTTTTTTTTTGTTGTAAAAATCTTCAAAAGAGCATTTCAACAGCAAAATGAGTTGTAAGCGGTGTATAAATGAAGTTTTTTTAGAAAGTTTTAAAATTTTAAAAACCACTTGAAATTTTAAACTCCAATTTCGAATCCTCTAATTAGAAAAAAAATAATTAAAAAAATCTAAGAAACCCCTGCCTTGGCTGAGTTCGATGTCAGTTATCCAAACACAAACCAAAACGTTCCTTCACCCAATTGGTCACTATGGAATTTTGAGTATGTATTATAGACTTATAGTCGAAGAGGTTCTTGTACAATGATTGTCCTACGAAATGGAACTCTACTTACGAGTTGTTGAAGACCTCCTTAGAAATAAGAGAGGCATCCGTCGAGTATGAAGTTCAAGAGTAATAAATTTTGATTTTTTTGTAAATCCCGAGTATTTATTATATAGTTTTTTTTTGAGTTTTTTCAGTATTAGTAAATTTTATATTTTTTTCTATTATATATTCAATATATGCGGGAGATCGGAATTTTGGATTTCGATGTCATAAAAGATGTGGTGGAGTTTCATGAAAAGTTCAAGAAAAAAACAAAGATTATATCATCATCAATAAAGTCGTTAGTCCATATATCATCATAAATAAAACTGTTAGTCCATATATTTTTTCGGAAAGTTTTAGATGTTGACAAACATCTAAGGGATTGGTCAACACAACCGGAATTTTGTCATATATATATATATATATATATATATATATATATATATATATATATATATATATATATATATATATATTAATCATATTTTGAAATTTAAGAGATATAAGTTACAAAACTTTTTATACAAACCAGTTATGCATAAATAATTCATTAATACTTCCCAAAAGTTTGAAAATTTTAATTAAGGAAAGTAGTTAAAAAAATCAATTTGGACCAAAATGAACATTTAAAAAAATTAAATTAATGTATATAAAATTAATTTATATTTTTTAAACTGGACACCAATATCGATTAATTTATATCAATATTATAAATATACAATATAAATATAAGGTATAAAAATAAATATTTTATTTACAAGTGGTAATTCTTTATAATTATTTATTATATAATAACTAATTATAAATCTAATAGTTTTTCTCCGTAAGAAACGAATCGCCAAATAGCTATTTATTGTCGACGCTTAGCGCGGACACACATCTATTATGTATGTGTGTGTGTGTGTAAATACAACCGAAGTATGATAAAGGGATATTTGACAAACTCAACGATAATATGTACTTTATGGTGTTGTTGAATCCACAATTTAAATCAGCATTTATTGCACATGCCTTTTAAGAGATGATCTCGTACACGATAAAAGAAGAAAATTTGATGTAAAATTCGACCATACAATTAAAGGTGACATCCATGGTTTGGAAGGTTGAAAAGAAGATGAAACATTCATTTATAATATACAAAGAAAATTTCAAACATTATGGATCGTCTCGAGGAGAAAAACATGAAGAAGTAGTGGTTATGATGACAATAACATCTTTTTGGGTGATTTTCTAAACGTTAAAGGAACCAACTTGGTTTAAATGGATATCGAGTTAAAAAAAAGTATTTGAATGAGCCCAAAGTGCCTTACAAGAAAGAGTTTGATATCTTCAAGTGGTAGAAACAAAACACGTTGTGTTTCACTATCATTACTTCCATTAACAAAGGTAATTCCTAATATTTTTTAATATTTTTTAAGTTTATATATAAAATAATCGACTTATATTTTTCATCGTTTTGATGTTAGATATTTTGGTCATACAAGCCTCAAATGTGGCATCCGTGTAGGAATTTAGCACATATTAATGAGTATCAGACTTGTTTGACAACAAATAATAGAGGCGTTGGTTTGTACCTATGATTGGTTTAGATTATCAAGGAAACAAATTATAGACGACGTTAACGATATCTTAATATGATGACATATTTTTGTGTAATTACTTTCAATTTTCATAATATTTTTTGTTTTATTTGTTACAAACCACAAATTAGAATTATGAGATAATAATTACTTTTTTGATGTTTATATAGAAATAGAAGAAGCAATATACAAAAAAACACCGAAAAGAATGAGAAAATAGGCAAATTGATGTTTAAATTGTTTTTTTTTGGACAAACATATTTTTATTGCTTAGTTTGATTTATTGTTTCTTTTTGTGTTGAAAGCACCATACATAAAAGATATGTTGGAACTTTTATTGTTTAGTTTGGTGTTAGAAAGCATGATACATGAAAGATATGTCAGAATTTTACCATTTAGCCTAAGTGACATTATTTATTTTTTACTTTGCCATAAGTGACCTATTTAACCTAACTAAAATACTTCAAGCAAATCTTTGAGGTTTATGGTTCAAGTTTCGTCTGAAACATAGATGGATTTAGGAGTAGTTTACGATTAGATTAGTTTGCCCTTCCAAAAAAAAAAAAATAATAAACCACACTCAAGAACATGAACACATGGTTATCATGCGAAAACTGGGTATGCGGATAATGGAACATTGGAACCAGTAAAACTGTGTGTGTTTGCACGCGCATGTGAGTGTGTGTGTGTGATTCTTGGTTCTTGGTTTGAGGCTATTTCGATTTCCAACAGGGTTTGAATGGGTTTTTCCACGATTTATTTTGGAATTTTGGATATTTGCCTAATTTTTTACTATTTCTTAGAAAGCGGTAACGAGATTAGCATATTTTGTCTTTTTTCTACAAAAATCAGGTATAAGGTTTTTACAAGATTTATGAAAAAATAAAATATATTTTTTTTTCAAAAATAGTCATGAATCTTATCGATGGAAAGTGAGAAATCGCTTCATAGCTGAAAAAACACTAAACGAGCTGCAAAATTAGGTGAAAACTAAAGTTTTGAAAACCGGACGGGAGACCGAACTGGCTGTCTTACCGGTTTGGTGGTTTAGACCAGTCTAAAAAATCGGATCAAAAATCGGATGATGTCATAATTACCTAATAATTAATTTGAATTATATACAAAATTTAAAAAAAAAAACAAATATTTTTTAAAACTCTCGATTTTTACCGGTTTTTACTGGTTCACATGTGGAACGGTTTTTTGGCCTCTAAGAATTGGATCCGGGACTGGTTCGGTTAAGCCGGCGGTCCGGTCCGGTTTTCAAAAACATGAGTGAAAATACTCTTAAAAAATTCAAAAAAAAAATGCATTTTTACACCATATATAACATTAGAAACCACGTGATATCTTTATTTGACCTAATTTCTTCACAACCACTATTTAGGCTTCCTTCTTTCTCCTTTCTTCTTTCCCCTCTGTTAACAAAATCGAAGCTTTTCTTCACTTCGTGGTTTGAAATCGAAGTTGTTCTCCACTTTTGGGTTAAAATCCGAAGCTATTGAGCACATTTATGTTAGAAATCAAAGCTATTGATCACTCCTCTCGTTGCTTACTTAGGACGATGACATTAAGTAAGACTTTTATGTTTGAGTTTGGATTTTAGTATGTTTTTTTTATGGTTAATAATATATTATTTTTTTTTATTCCGCCTCGATGTTTATGCCTAGGTTTGCCTCGAGGCTTCACCTCGTGAGGCAGAGAGTAAACGCCTCGAGATACCCATCACTAACTATTATAATGTGGATGTCATATCATCACCACATGTTTACTACTAAATCATGGGATATCTACCATACCACGCCATTCCATCTTATTTTTCTAATTAAATTTAATTCAAAAATATATAAAAATGCAAATACAATAAAAACATATTTTTTTAAACGGGTTATTGTCACTCTGGCCCAACTATCTTTCGTATATTGGTTTAAATGGTCCCTCGTGACTATTTTTTGCTTTTAAAGGGCTTATACTTGTAAAAGAACTTTTTGACTTGCCAACTAAGCAGCTTACTCAGCATTGAACTGGACTCGTGTACTCATCCTCCACCTAAGCGTCCAACTAACCTTCATTAATTAGTCATTATGTCTACCAACCTTCCAACAACCCGTAGAGGACAAGGAAGAGTCGGTGGTGGGGGCATAAAGTCTGGTTCACAAATCTTTGGTGCTTAAGGTAGCAGAAATCGATACCTGTTTACCCTAATAAGCCAAACACGATTCCGGCCAACACCCTAAAATCTGTCAATGTCGGCTCCACCACCTCCCTCACCCGACTCGATAAATTCTGGAGAGTTTCTCAACCTCAACGACCTGCATTTGATTTTTTGCGACTGTGGAGATAAGATTGCTGCCAACCAGATCGAGATGCAGACCCTCAAAGATCAAGTGGGTAAAGATTTCATTGTGTGTCGTGTTGATCACATCAGTCTGCATCACAAGTTGGAAGATCA